GCAATAGCTTCAGGATGAAGAAATGCAAAAGAGATCTGGTATAAGGAGAAAGCTTTGTGACCTTAGACAGGTATGCACACACACAGACACACACACACACACACACAAATCACAAATTCTGGGAATTCTTTCTGTGAAAGTTAGATAGGGGTCCTTACAATTGTGGCTGTGTCCCCACGTTTCTCACCATTTTTAGGGCTGTGCTCTTTAGAACATCTGGCAGGGTCTTTCTGGTTATTTCCTCTATTTTCTGATCTGAGTCCATGGTCTGGTATAGAGAGAATGTTTTTAAGTGTGGCGCAGCATGGATACGTATCAGTAAATCTCCGAGTTTCCATTTCCTACCATCTGAGTTCCTAGGCTCCCAGAGATTAGAAATGAACCTCACCGTAGGAAGAATCCAACCATACTCATCATTGTTGACACCAATGATGCTGGGGACACGGTGAAAATCAGCAGAGGCCAGCAGCTCCTGAGGATGCTTGGGTAGAAACTCTCCATCCACCACAGCAGGGATGATCTTGAAGACTTGAGGAACATTCAAAGTCAGAACTGAAGGTCAATTATATATGTTTTCTGATTTCCAATGAATGTCTTCCACTCCATCTTCACTTTCTAATTTGTTGTCTTAGGTTAGTTATTCTCTACAGCACGCCCACCCCTCCCCCACATTCTCATCCCCAAAGAGACCTTACATTTAAATTAGCTTATGTTGGTATTGGTTTTACACCCAGGATTAAAATGAGACTAGTCATGAGATTAGGTAATTTGTTCATAGTAATGAGAACTACCTATAACACACCTTGCTATCTGCCATCTTCCCAGCCACACAATTCTGCCAACCTTATTAATCTCCAGAATCTCTGCTTCACTCTTGCCTCTTAGGCAGCACACCAGGGCCTCAGAGTTCACAGCCTCGCAACCAGATAGATTGGCCACTATCTGTAACGAGAACAGGATGTAGCTGCTTTCCAGGCAGAGAAGTTTTCCCAGTCCCAAGATGGTACCATTGACTCTAAATGTTATACCAAATGTGTGTGGGCTGGAGCAAGAACAAAATTGTTTCCATTTTTCTGTTGCTCAATTGTGACAGTAATACCCCCAATCCTGCCACGGCCCTCACTTCTACTTAATTTGAGAAATGGTCTCTTGTTTTGCTGCAGCCTACTCCAGTTTTGTTGGTCTGTAACTTTCTAAAATTGTTCCTGTCCTTGTCTCCCTTCTTGCCATAGGAACACCTGGATTAACAACATGGATATTCTGGGGAATTGAACTCAGATCCTCAAACCAGCACATCCAGCTCTCTCGCCTGTGTACCATTTCCTGAACACATACATACTTGCTTTTGCCAGAGGTAGAAGCTGCTAGGTATAGCTTTGCTGAACTTTATATAAAGGTTCAGCAAAACAAAACAAAACCAACCAACCAACCAACCAACCAACCAACCAACCAAAAAGTCCTTTGTATAAACCTCTTGTATAAAGCTCTGTATAATGGGGTGGAGATGAGGGTTCTAAACCTTGAGTCTTTAAGAAAGCACCGAAGGGAAGTTACTTCCCATGTCCTTCATTTTCCCTACTGAACACAG